CATAAGACTTGTCCTGCAAACCACCCGAAACTTCTGAAATGACCTGAAGTGTCTTCAGGCCAATTCAACGGTTTCAGACCACTTCAGAATCTTTCATTCTGAAATTTCAGGTGGTCGTTAACCGCGAGTGCTCAAGAGAGGGCAGAATTTGGGACATTGAGGTCATGAGATGCGTACCTAGACCGCAAGATCCGCTTCCTGACCAAGAGTTCTTTCAATAGATATCTAATGTTGGAAGATGATGTGGTCGGTAAGAAGACAAGGGAACTAAAACATCGGGTACGGTTGGAGGTTGTTGAGGCTGAGGTTCGAAAGCTCTGGGCATTGACAGTCAGTCAGGCTGCCATAATTTAGGAGATAATGCAGCAGCTTCAGGACAACAAGCGAGGAGAGACCAGGAGGCACCCACTTGAGAAGTGGATTGGACCGAGAGTCGTCGCTATGATATCAAGGGCGAAGCGGCGCAGGGTCTATCTGGACAACCATCTATGGCGGGACCCTCTCAGGAGCCATCTATGGAGGGCCATCCTGGAGCCAGAGAAAGCAAAGGCGAAAAGGGAGGCAGAGAAGAAAGTCTTTGAGTTTAGGGCCCCTACTTAGCTTGCCGCCCAGCCTATAACTTCTTCAGGGTCGGTGACGGAGTCCTCGACACCACGAGCCGGAGACAGACCACGGACAGTTGTCAGAGAGCCTGCACTTGGATCTGACGTGGGGTCCATGGATGTGCTCCTTGAGGCAGTCGACACTATACAGGAGGGAGCAACTCTGTTTATGCCTGAGCAGAGGGTGGAGGAGCCTCATGAGGAGGAGGTGTTGGTTGCGATGGAAGTGTATGCGAGGGTAAACCCCAGAGGTTAGATATTCCTTAGTATAGGCCCGAGGGAGTTGGGACGTGGACGGAGCCGATTACTCAGGGATTGGAAGTGAGACTGGAAGAGCCTATAAACATGCCCCAGAGCTATGAGATGACCAGAGAGGTCAGCGAGACACCTTCGTCACCGGGGTCTCAGAGGAAGAAGAAGAGGCTCAGGAAGTCATATGACCCAGCCTGTTTTTTCTGCAAGAGAGGGGAACACCGAGCCTTGTAGTGTCCAAAGTTTTTCAATGATAAGGCAGCAGGAAAAGTCGAGGAAGGTGGAAGGATGTACAATAGGCAGGGTCGAGTGGACTGACGATGCGGGTAGACCTTAGTTATACAGGCAGAACCAGAAGGAGATGAGTGAGTAGGGATTGATTCGCCTATGTATTGTTAGTCACTATGATATGGCAAGATTAAGTGGAGTATGCATTTTGGGTCAGGTTTAGTTTTATCTTTGTTTTCGTTTTTGTCTTGTTAAAAGTTTGGGTACCTACGCTGTTAGTTGTATATATAAGGGAATACTGCGTATGGTTGCTATTGAGGCTCTTCTTAGTAACATGAGGGTTAGGATTTAGTGAGATCCTATGTATATGTTGATGATACTATTTCTTTGACTCGTTGAGAGAAGGATTCGATTTCTGTTTCAGGATGTTTTTGATAGTACGGTCAGTCCTGTATCATATTTAGGAGGGTTTTTTTTTTCCGAGTAAGTTGCAGATCTGGACTATTATCTGTGTGTTTGGATGAGATATTTCATCCCTGAGCGTGCTATGAGTTGAGATCTATCAGAGACTATTCCTTTGTATATGACGATCACAATCACTCTCACGTATGTGGTTTTATCCTGATGTATGGTGGCTTTGTGCGAAAGATGTATGAGAAACATCTCGTGTATTGCGTGTATTGAAAAAATGAATGGATGTGAACTGTCTACTCTTCAGTACACTCGTGCGGCCTGCCCACGGGCAGATGATAGGGCCGGGTATAAGGAGAGGAAGAACAAATTGTTTTTGTGAAAGGCGTGAGAACCCTAAGGGAATTATGCGTCTATGCGCTTCGAATGCTTACCATGCTGAATGTTTATTGTTGAGTTGTGGTGAGGACCCATAAGTTGGTATCTCAGTTTGAGTTGTTTTATGGTTGAGACACTTTCAAGTGAGAAGGCAGTCTTATGCTTATTTGGAGACTCGTCTTCAGAGAGGGAAAATGTTTTATGGAAAGGTCGCATGAAAGTTTATCCTAGAAAGAGAAGGGATGATTGAAAGACCTATTGAATGAGGCCTCCTTCATATGAAAGGTGGTTAATAAATTTAATGACATGGAAGGTTGATTTTGAATGATAAAGACTGATTAGAAGGACCATGTTTGTATTTGGCCATGGGTGGAATTTTGGAGGTCGCAAGAGTGATTTATTTGGGAGATGTCATTGAGATGTGACTTTCTTGCTCCGATCAAGTAGGGGGATTAAGACCTTGTGAATCTGGCGGTGATTCTGTTTTGTAAAAGTGGAGAGGCTGGCATGCTTCTTAAGATTCGCTATCGATCATTTTCCTTTCATTATTACTATTATTCTAGGTTACCTCTTCGGACGTCCGGGACCCCGGGAACGGTCCGGGTCGTCCGACTGGACCACCGGGCCGGTGGTCCGATGTCCGACAAAGGTCCGGCCCCTGCGGAAAATAGGGGTCAGGCTTGGAAGGGGCATCTAAGGGGCTGGAGGGTCACGCGATGTAGTAAGAAGCCCTGCTGGACCTCGGTCCCCGCAATCAGAGTTCCGTCATGTTTGTTGAACATCAACGTCTCTGTCCTACATAGGAATGACCTCCCTACGAGGATGGCATGATCCACATCTGGCATGATGAAGAAGCAAGTTCTTACCTTTACTCTCCCGATCTCGATAAGTGTGTTTGACGCTGTTCCGCAAAATACGATCTTAAAATAGGCCACCTGCAGAATGCTGCAATCCGAGCGCTCTATCTCCAACCCAAACCTGAGTGCATCAGTTTCCTTGATGATGTTCAACTCTGCCCCTGTATCCACCATTGCTGCGCACTTTGATCCCTTCACCATCAAATCCACCATTCCACAGGCCACACACTTCCGGTCCAACTTCGTCCCTGTTTCCGCCCATTCTGCCTCCTTTAGCAGAATCACACTTAGATGGACATTTGTCACCAAACGTTGGAAAAACCATCCCTTCAACTCGTTACAGAGCTTAGGAGCAGATGTCAGGATCTCCTTTAAGGTCACAAGGTCATTATGACCTTCAAGCAACCTATCAATCACTTTTTCCACGTCAAACCCTTCCTCCAACCGGACCGCATACTTCTTTTTTTTGGGCGCCGCATCGTGCAGAACCGACACGACTTCCTCCTGGACTCCCTCTTCTTGGCCCTTTGCTCCGCCCTTCGATCGTCCTCTTGGCGCAGCCTATTATCTTGTTCTTCTTCGTCATCCTCCTCCTCCACCTCCACGACCTCTTTCCTTCGTTCCTGCTCTGGCTCCCTCTGAGGGGGTTCTCGGCTGACACTTGCCTTATTCTGTCCCCTAGTTTGTGCAGCTTACGCCATTCTCCCTTGCGCGGTAGGGGGCCTGAAGGTCATTCCAGACCGAGGGCCTGACCCCACGGTGGCCACACCGTGGTCTCCCTGCCGTCCTGGTACCGACTCTGGGCCAGAATCGTAGAGGAAAACTTTGGGAATTTTTGCTCTCCATTTCCTCACTTTTTCACATATATCTACCAACTTTCCCTGGTATCTTCCCATTTTCTCCCACACATCCTCCATCTTTCCTGGAAGGACTGACGCCGACTTCACCTTCTCATTTTCGCCCTCTCTGTCTGACCCAACGACTATGGGCTCTTCCTTTATAGTTCTTGCTTGTAGCCTTTGAGTCACCTCTCCATCATTTTCCACCTCGTCCACTCTTATTGGTGGGCCATTCCTTTCCTGCCACAACCTGAACGTGGCGGGTGGCGCTTGTCGCGCAACTATCCTCCTCTTAGCCTCCGCCCGCACCCCGCCTGGAACCTTTCTGTCCATATACTCCCCGTACTGATCATATATGTCACCATCCATATTAGAATAGATCATCCCGGACTTCTCATCTCTCTGCCTTATGTTACAGAACCGTATAGTGTGACCTTGCTTATCGCAATGCTGACAAATAGCAGTTCTCCAATCAAAACGAGGTCTTCCATATCCTTGACCTCCTTGATTCCCTTGACTCCCTTGGCCTTGGTAGCCTTGGTTGTCCCAATGTCCACCTTGGCTAGCACCATTCCTCCCACGCCCTCTTCCGCTGCCACTTCCTCCATTCCCTTGGTTGTTGTGACCTTGATTTCCTCCCCTTGCCACGTTGCCCTGTGAACTTGGCGTGGGGGATGGAGGTGGCGCCACGGGCTCAGCCTGCACTGCAGGATAGCTCGGCGGCGGCATACTTGCTTGAGGCCCAACGTATGGTACCATCTGTCCAGATGGAGCTGGACTTCCCCATGACACAAAGGTGTTAAACACAGGTCATGGTCACTACCTGTATGGTGGTACCGCCTCTTGCGAGGGTCCCTCGCTACTTGACGGAGTCGACGTACTCGGTGAGGCTACTACCACTGCTTGGGGAGCCTGCCCCTTTCCGGAGCCTTGCCCTCCCTGTATTGAATTGCGTTGTTTGCCCGACGCCTTTGAGAGGTGTTGGGGCACTGAGTCTTCTTCTTCCTATTCCTTCTGGACGACCTCCTCTACCACTGGCTCCTTCCCCTTCCCTTGGATCGTAGCCAACACTTTCTTTTGTACCACGACGTCTTTCTCATACCCCAACTCCGCGAGTACATCTGTTACGATCCTTTTCACCCCCGAGGTCCCTGAAGAGGTCGCATCTCGCTCCTTCCTTTTCCGCCTTTGCTGGCACATTTCGTACTGCTCCACCTGGTCCAAACTTCCTTCCTCTACCCCCTTGTCGATGGTGGCCCATGTAAGCTTTGTGCTACCTCCTCCGTGACTTATCAACTCAAGGCTTCCGAGGCAGTGAACAACCCCAGAAAGATAGCACATTGTGCTTCTTCTGAGATTTCGGGGACGTTCCTTGCCTTTTTCTTAAATTCTTGCACAAAGGCCCCGACTGTGGTAAAGTCATCCCTGTTCATCGCCTTCAAATCCGCAGTGGTCAACAGGTGATCTCTCAGCCTGTACTTCCTCTGCATTCCATCTTTGAACCTCGCCCAACTGCCGTTAGCTGCGTTTATCACCTTATCTACCTCTTAGTGGTGCCCATGGAGTACGTACTTCAAAATACGTTGGAACTTCACCGCATCCAATAACCCCACCGGAGCCTGCTCAACTAGTTTCAGGCATTCTGAAACTCGCTCGCCAATCCAATGGACGGTGTTCACTTTGGGGACATTGCTCTGCAACCTCTTTCGCCTGTCCAGGGCCTCGACCAAATCATCAATTGTCAGGACCTTCCCGACATCATCAGTTATGCCTCCCGACATCTTGACCGAATCTCTTATTCCAAACATGTTATTCGTTAAAATAGACCATGATATTATGTCCTCTTTTTAACGAATTCATTTTTGGATGCAGCCTAAGCAACGTAGCATGCCCATCCACTCGCCCTAAATGCGGAAGTGTGATGAGATCCATACTTGTTGAACTTTATAAATAAGATGACCAAGGTGTCATGATTGAATCCTTGTTGGATAATATAATTTTTTAGTTTATCCATAAATTATAAAATCATATCCATCCTCTCACCTGAGACGGTTGTTTGGATGTTTTATGAGATCCGGACTTTTTTAAAAGACTTAGTGTAATGATAGGCACGACCATCCGGGAACCCTGTGCGGAAGTGTGTTGAGATCCATACTTGTTAAACTCAAAGTTCATAAATGTGATGAGCTAGGTGTCATGATTGAATCCTTATTGGATAACACATTTCTTTGGGGTATTCCTAAGTTCTGTAGGCATGCCAATCATCTCGCCCGAGATGGTTGTTTGGATGTTGATGAGATCCGAACTTTTTTAGAATACTTAGTGTGATGATGAACACGCCCACCATCTCTCGCCTTATATGCGGAAGTGTGTTGAGATCCATACTTGTTTACAATTATGATGAGCAAGGTGTTAGGATTGTATCCTTGTTCAACATTTTCGCTTTGAACAGTGTGTCATTGTAGACTTCAAAGAAAGTAATGTAACAGTTACACCAGTAGTCGAAGTACAACTCAAAACCCTAAGCTCTGCAGGCATGTCAATCATCTCGCCCGAAACGGTTGTTTGGATGTTGATGAGATCTTACTTCTTTAGAATACTTAGTGTGATGATCGACACGCCCACGATCTCACCTCATGTGCGAAAGTGTGTTGAGATTCATACTTGTTTACAATTATGATGAGCAACGTGTCAGGCAGGATTGTATCCTTGTTGAATATTTTCGCTTTGAACAATGTGTCATTGTAGACTTCAAAGAAAGTAATGTAACAGTTATAACAGTAGTCGAAGTACAAATCAAAATGTTCACCGTTCGTCTTATAACAAGCAGTTAATTTCGACATACAAGTTCGTTTTCTGCGACAACAGTCATATCACATAAGAACTTTAAGTCTTGCATATTTTTGATCGACTCCGCACTGTAATTGACCTTGCGCAAAAGACTTTTGTACAAACACAAAGTTATTGTTTACATGTAATGCAGGCGGTCCCAAGGCATGTGATTTTATGCACACGCAAGAGACGTGATGTTAGTGGTTTTTGCATAATGAATCGTACACTCAAACACTCACCGAGACTTGTCTTGCATCCACACACCAATTTTCGTTGCATACAGTACAATTATTAATAGTATTTGATGTCAATCATAAGTACAATTTTGGTTGACCTGAACACAATTTGAAACAAGGAACACAATGCGCACTTGCTCCGCCGCATGATAGACGATTGAAACGTGATAGAAATTCGAAAGTCAAGACGTGACTCCAGACTAACAACGAGCATGGCAAAGACAACACAAACTCGCAATGACAAAAGAAAGAAATGTCGTTGTGAAAACGACAGTTAAGTAATGTCAGGATTTAAAACAATATAATCATTAATGAATGAAATTTTTTCAAAAGAAAGTCTCTAAGTCAATGAAATCCATCAAAGATAACGACATTCAAAGATACATTATGCCAATTGTCGTTTAATAAGTGGAATTTTTTTTACAAGAGAACTTGAAAGGTGGTTGACCACCACGTTGCAACAATGTCACAAACATCAACATAAACACCCCGCAACTAGCTCCATCCACGTGTCTTGGAACTCCCTCTACCACAATATTTGTTGCTACCGACTTTCAACCCCTACCCGACCGCCTATGTAATGTTCGACGTTCCAAATACTATACAATCAACTCGAAAACACTAAGGTAAAAACTTAAATCAACTATAACGCGAGGAAAAGAATAAAAAATTTCAAGAGAGGAAAAAAATAAAAAATTTCAAAAACATTACCTCTCAAGGTAACGGAAAGGAAGATTCAGTGATCATTATCTTTATGGACAGGAACAAAGATAATATCATATTGAAGCAGATCCACGTTTTTAGCCCACCTTTCGACCCCGTCGTGTCCTTGAAGATGCAGTTTACTGAAGAAGAATGAACTAAAGTTGAAGACTCGAAGGCCTGATGGGATGTTACATATTGCATATGTGGTCGACCTCAATAGCGCCATGTAAAAATTGACCACCTCATCATTCACCCTGCCGTCGATATACGAGAGGGTGAGAAAATCTTTTGCTGCAATTCGCAATTGACCATCGCCGAGGGTAGAGAGAACAGTGTCAGGTGGCACAAAGCCTCGTTTAATATCCTCCAAAACCCGCAAGCTTCGAGGCGCAGTCACTGCAACGAATCTTCCCGGCATGTTCCAGGAGTTGTGGCCCGCACTGCACAATATCGAGCAAAGGACACGCGGGGTAGTGAGAAACGTTGTTCTAAGGATTCTCCTTCATTGCACGACGAGTAGCTAAGTATTTCTCATACATGGCCTGACCTCTAGTCACAGATCGTGGATACATCTCTTTCTCTGGGGGCAGACGGAAAAAACACTCCTCAATTGCAATGGCACGCTCCTTCTTCCCGATCTCGACATCAAACCCTATCCTTGTGTTTTGTCGTCAACCCCGGGACTGCCTGCAATATGTGTTTTGGATATTTTGAGGACCTCAGTATTCGAGATGACCCTACCCCTGTACAACAGAAGAAAAACAAAATGGAAAATGAATACACGTTTCCCAACATGAACCTGACGAAAGTGACAATTTGAGAACCACGTAATCTAAAAGACGCAGGACCTATCCAATTACAGAACCTCGTTTTGTCATGACCATGAGCACCAAGGTGCGTGAGCGCGACTGGAAAAAAAAACGACTAGCGCATTCGAGCTCGACACCCCCGCCTTTTAGAAAAGAAAACCACAACAAGCCACATAAGTGGAAGCGAAACATCCCCGAAGTCCGAATTCCAGTAGACTTTTTCCCAATCCAGGCACACAAAGTCTAACCGCATTACGCATCGACATTGGAAGTGCAGATCCTGGCGGACTAAAACCACCACTCTTTCTGAGAAAGAAAAACCGTCATTCCATTTTGTGAGGGAACGCTTCAACAAAAAAATACATGTTTTCGTTGTAGTATGCCCTGCACGCGACCAACGACCTGGCCGACTCACAGGAAGGTCGGTCACATGTACTTGGAAGGAGTGGTGGCTGTAGTATGCCGGCATCAGGAACTCCCCGCATCGACAGACACTGTGGTCACTCCTTGTGTGTATGGTACTGAAGGTATTCCATCGACATCCGGACTATGAAGGAAGTCGCACTCTCGCTCTTGGAAGCCTGGGCGCGCAGACAGAGTGGCGTTTCTCACAGCTTACCTGCCGGTTTGTCCCTCCACTCCTTTGTCGGTGAAGTTGGCGCGGGCAAGGCCAGCACGTCGAGAGCTTGAGTGCCGACCCTAATTTTTTTCGGGGACGTGACATGTTGTCGTCCCCCGACCCGCCTTCCCCTCGACTGGCGAAGGTCGCCAACAGTATCAGAGAGTTTGGCGGCGAGAAAGCGATGGCAGATGTCGCGGAAGGTTTAACGTTGCGAGGGTCGTCGACATCAGGCGTTGTGGACGGTTGCGCGGACACGTGGTGGTTGCCTAGGATACCATCTATAACTTCTTCGACGTCTATACGGCCACTTGGTTTAGATAGGCTCACAGCAACAAGAGCCTCGTTGAACTGGTGTTGGAGATCGACAGCATACGTCAGTGCTTGAACCTCATAGTCATCACGTTATGCCGAAAGGTTGCTGACCACCTGTGTCTCCATCTCCATTGCCGTCGCATCGTCGTCATCATCATCCTCACGATGTTCTCCGTACAGCAACCCGAATCCGTCAGACGATTCCCCAGATCAGGCATCATCGTCACTCACTGTCCGTTCGTCGTCTCCAATATCGATGTCCCCTTTCGCACCCTCCTTTCCTTCAAACAACTCACTCAACTCCGTTTCTCCCCCTTTCTCTCCTTCCTCCCCTTCCTCCTCCTCTTCCTCCCCTTCATACCCTTCTTCCTCCCCTTCCTCCCCTTCCTCTCCTTCCTCCCTTTCCTTCCCTTCCTCCATTACCCCCCCTCCTTCCCTTGCATGCAATCCAGCCATTTCTCCCGAACCCCTGTCGAATCCCGACGACCGCCCTTCTGGCTCCACGCACGCTGCCCCTCCCGGTGGCACCAGAATCCCTGGCCGCCCCCCCCTGCCTGAAGAAGTTCGGATGTTGGCGAACTTCGTCGTCCACCTGTCACCGAGCCCTCCACTTGTACCCTCTCGCTCCAACCGAAGGGGTCGTCCCTCCCCCTCAGGCGGCGCATTCCCTTCCCTCACCTCACCGCTGTCAATTGTGGGATCATGACTCGGCACCCCCACTCCCGACCAGCTCTCCGTGTCCGACCGTTATGTCGGCACCTCAACCATTGTAGTTCGGATCCCGACGGACTTGAATGTTCCGCCCGAGCCGCCACGGAGAGCAACCAAGGCTGCCATCATCTCCCTCACCGAGCCGGCGGACTGTGTCGAGTCCTCCGGACCGGGACCAGTAGACTGCTGACGACCGAAGGCCTCCCCCGCCACCTCACCACTGCCTTCCGTTGTCGCGGTGTCACCATGAGACCTGCCCTACCCACTAGGCGGGACTCCTTTGCCACCCCCCGCATTGTCGCCTCCGTCCCCCCCACTGTCTGGTGGCCAGCCACCAGAACTCCCGTGTGCCCCACTGGGAGGGGGAATTTTCCAGTCCACCATGCCCTTCGAGGGGGCTGTATCGAGTTTGTATTAGTCCTCCGTTAGTTCCAACCAGCACTTGTCCTGAAGTTCGTCGATAAGTCGCCCGAATGTGGAAATGACGGACACGTCGTCAGGTGCAAACGAGTCATTTTCAGCCCTCACTTTTTGAAGGACCGAAATCCTGGCGAGGTCCATGAAGTTTGTCTTCAACTCGCGAGAGAGGGGCATCCATCCACTGCCCGGGACAGCGACGACCATGATCCACTCGCCCTTTCGGATCGCTGGCTGGATGACTCTTGGATGCCAAATCATGTCATGTCCCCAATCCACCTCAGACGAATGGCTTTGCGGCTCAGCAAGGAAGTGAATGTTGTCATCCTTTCCAAGACAGATGATCGAGCGGGATGTCAGACCCGGGACGCAATGTGCGATGGGTGGGGGCCAGAGCTTTCAGTCTCTCCAGCAACTTCATTGGGGTTGTGCGAGGCGTCGGTTTTGCCATCGGTGACACGAGGGATGTCGGACTTGTTGACAGACCTGCCAACGACGACCCTGTGGCGTGTTGTGCGGGAGGTGGGTCGTAATGCAGGTCGAGACTCTCGGTGTCGCTCTCCTCCTCGTTCGCGTTCGCGTCGAATTCGACGCCTGTGGTTTCCTCGTCTTCCGTAGAGATCAAGGAAGAGTAACTGTCGAACTTCAACTCCTCCTCTGACTCCACGAAGTACAGGGACTGCAACCTTTCGAGGAATGTCTTCGCGTTCATGCAGGAGGCGTCGTGTTAGTTGTCGAGCAGCGTGAATATATGGTCCCTGCGGCGCACGTACTCGGCGTCAGTGTCCTTCCTCGGCCTCGTTTGCAGGAACAAGAAGTCATATATCTTGTTCGACTTCCTCTCACTCACTTGAACCACATGTCCGTCTTGTTGTTCCACAAGCGATCCCGTGTCTCCTTCACGACCACGAACTCACAATTGTGGGCCCCCGAATTGACCTCGCTTTTGACGACTTGCATTGTGAATTGCAACAGGTCGGAGTTCCCTTCCATCACGACAACGTGTCGGCCTACCTTCAGTAGTTCCCACACGGTTCCCCCGTGCGGCTTCCCAAGGAAGGCGACACCCTCTCCCTTCTTGCTGACGAATTCAAGAAGATTAACGAATTGGGTCGGATTGTGTTCCATGTTCCCGTACACAATGCCCTGACGTGCAGGCGAGGTCTGCAACCAGTCGCAAGGCGTGAACAGAATCTCGGACACATCCGTTTGGGTAACCTTCTGTGGCAACCGCACTGCAGCAGCGGCACCTGCCGGCATCCTTCCCTCGTAAACGACGGACGTGTTAGCGAGCAAATCTTCACCCTTGAAGAGGATGTACATCCAGTCGTCTTCCGTGTACAAATTGTTCTCGACGGGGAAGCTTTTCTTCTGCTAAGTCCTCCTCACCCACGTCCCTTTCAGCAGCTTCACGAAAGAAAGGTGGTTCATGCTGGCCAGAAACGAGAGGTTCTGCTGCCAGAGCACGAAAACGACGAGCGTCCAATGCGACGGACACCACGTCTGAAGTTGGGAATCCAGAGTGTCGAACGCTTGCGGTTTCCACAGCTTCAGGTCAACCGGTTTGCAGAGATCAAGGAAGAATGTGTGGCTCTTTGTGGCAGCCACCGCCTCCTTCAGCTCCGCACTCGTGATGTTCGCCTCCAAGGGCTCGTTGCCGAACGGTGCGATGGATGTCACGTCGCCTGTGTCTTTCCATTTTATGTGCACAATGCCTTCAGCAAGAGCAGTCTCGCGACTCTTCAGTCTACTGTCAGTAAACACGGAGAGAACCTTGTTTCTCCAGTCGATGGACAACTTCCTGTGACCGGCCAACTTCTCCGTCGCCTCAATCGAGTGGTCGTCGTTGCAACCCATGTAAGGTGGGCATTCCTTGAACAGCGAGGAGTCAGTAACATATTTCCTGCTACCGTCCCACAACTCAGCATCCAATCCACGACTTTCGAACTGCTTGAAAATTGCAGACCTTGTTTTCAGGAACGGGTACCTCTGGATCCAATCGGCATCCGGCCTCTTCTCGTGCTTGAACTGGTAGTAATTCCAAAAACGTACGAGCACGTGATCGCACTTCACCAAATGCACCATTTCCTGCACGCCGAGCTTCCCCAGCTTCGCCAACGCCGAGGAGCCGGCCTGGACCCAGACCACCTCGCAAGCGAGCACCTTCTTCAGAACGCGACATTTCTCGTTGGCGGTTAGCGATTCCATCGCTTTCCAACAATGTGTGTCCGGCTCAGGCACTTGCACGAAACAATCGCCCTCGTCTTTCTCCTTTTTGCCTTTCCTCGTTGCCGGGTCCATAGGGGCGTTGTACAGGACCTCCTTCCTTCCTAGCTTTTCGTTGTCGATGTTGGCAACCCCGGGCTTGGCGTTTCTTACCTTCTTCTTCCTCATGATCCACTTTGCGCCGTCGTGGCCGAGCAATCTACTTGTCTCCTATCTCTCAAAATAATCAACGGCCAGTTTCCAAACGTTCTTTTCGACCATCGCCTACGGGGAATAGGAACGCAGGGCAGCGTTTCACTTCTTGATGGCGTCATCCCCCTTCTGGTCCGCTAGAATCCACAAGTTGTTGTACGGCGTCTTATGAAGCGCCACCGTACAGAATTCATGCCATTTCCGGACCTGTTCCTGTTTTCCGCTGGGGTTCCCCATAACAACTCTCGAGAAACCGTTGTGCTTCCACTGCCACAGAATGTCTTTCATTGACAGCTTCAAATGTCTCGGTGGCGCCTTGAGGTCCTTCTTGTTGTCCTGGGAACTGACAAGGAAATACCCTTCGAAGTCGTCGTCTGAAAAGTACACCATTTGTCCAGGCCACCGCTCAAAATTGTATTTCTTGGCCACCTCGTTGCCGAGCAACGACCTGGCTGCAGCCGCGTTATGCTGCCCATACACCACGTAGTAGTAGTATTGTCATGCCAGCTTATCCATCCATTCCTCTGGCTTAAAACGTTGTGCCTTGTTCTCGGGAGTTGGTTTCTAGAGCCCTAGCGGTGCCAGCTTCAGGGTTGGCAACTCATACGACTGCTCTTTGTTTTCGAACACCAACCGCATCGCTTCTTTGATCCCTTCAACGAGGACGGGATCCAAGGACTGCTGGTTGTACAGATCCTCCCAGTCCCGATGGTCGACGACATGCGCACGGCTAATCTCGAACTCCCGCTTTGTCCTAACATCGTCCTTGTACTCGAGGAAGTACCCGGCGTCGACGTCAATGGGAGGCCGTGGCGTCGGTGAAGAGGATGGTCCTGACGCAGGCGCCTTCTGTTTCGAAGTCGGACGTTTGGTACCTAGCCGGCCCCGCTCCCCCTCGGTTCCCTTCCGTTTCTCCCCCACAGTCCTTAGGGCCTTGCTCTTCAATTTCTTCGAAGAGCCGGCCAACTCCTCACGACGATCTCCCCTCCTCTTTTGTGGAGTGCCTTGCGTGCCCTAGCCGCCCGCGGTTCCCTCCTCCGTACCCTGGCCCTCACTAGTCTCCAAGTCGACCTCTTAATAGACTGCCACATTTCCTACAGCTGCTGCAAGCTCCTCTCAACCCGGAGCGTCATCCAGAACCCCAGGTATAGACAACAAAGACCGGTCTGCTCACCTCAACGACGAAGTCGTCATCTGTGGAGGCCCCTTATCCTCGCTGTCATCGAACGGACTACGACTCTCGCCACGATGCAGCTAAGTAGCAGCACCAGAACGGAGATCTCCCCCCTCCGACGTTGCCCTGCTGGATTCGCAACCGCTGCACAGTCGCAATGGCAACGAGAGCTCTTGGGTGGGGCCGACGTCGCAGGGGACGTAGAGGACGATGTTTTTTTCCTCCAACATGTTAAAAAATTCACGTGCCAAAACAAAATCGCCCACGCGAACGAGTTCGCTGTAGAACGGGGTGTTCACAACACCCACTCTGAACTGCTCGAACAATTCCATATCCAACAGCGCCCCCTTCGAATTGGCGACGATGTTACCATTGGCGCCATAAACATTTTGCATATAGAATTCAAGTTGTCGCCGTCCCCCCTTCGTGTCCTCCCACCACAAGACGACCCCAAGCAGTCTACGCCGTTTATTGTCATCGACGAAGATTACCGGTCCACATGGCTGCGCAACGGGGTTGGAAGCGTCTCCACATCACCAGTCGACGAACCATTTCGACTTCGCGTGGTTCGACCACGATTCCAGGCCAGTAGATGACCGCCTTGTGGAGTCTTTTTATGATCCCTTCTCAGAGGTCCCGACTGGCTCCTCCTCGCCCCTCGACGAAGACATCCTGTCTGCGAACGAGAACGCAAATGAAGCAACCCACCACGAGGTTAGCGTCTGGCAAACCACAACAGCAATAGTCCGTTCACCGTCAAACCACGACGCAGGCCCTGGCGAAGTGCCACAAACGCAGTCGAAGAATCCTGAACTGCACACGCCCGCACCATTGCATCGTTGCAAAAGCCACACTTTAAGTTCGGATCCTAGCGAACATCATACACAAAGACCCTCCGACATCCCACTTCGGACAGGTGAGCACGTGAAGTTCGCTGCGATCTGAAGAGGGTACGAGAGAGAGAGCCAGAGAGAGAGAGACATGATCCGTACTTGTGTGGTTGGTGAAATCCATGGGGCACCAGCAAGACCACAGTCGCATCAGAGGCCACATGAAAATAAGTAGTGCGCTAGCATCCGAATTTCTTATGCTTTCCAGTTTCGCAATAGTTGAAGCTTGATAGCCGATGCAGCCAGCGTTCGATGGCCATACTTGTGCAAGCACATTCGGTCACTGCATTTGGGCAAAATAAGAAGTTCGGACGCGGTCGAACTTGGGCCGTTTTTGCGATCCATGGGGCACAAGGAAGACCACAGATAGACCAAAGAACAGCCAAAAAAGCGAAGTTCGCCGAGATCCGAACTTAAGGAGGGTGCGAGAGAGAGAGACGGAGAGAGATACACACTTACATCAGAGGTCAGTTGAAAATGACAACTCCGCCGGCATCCGAAATTGTTCTGCTGTTCGATTTGGCGATATGTGAAGTTCGACAACGGATGCAGCCAAGTTTGAATGTTAGACCCCGGTAAGCATGTTTTGTGACCCCGTTTCGGCAAAATGCGAAGTCCTGACGAGGGCGAGCTCGGGCTGTTATTGCAATCCACGGGGGATCTGGAAGACCACGGTCAGTTAAATGGACTGGCGAAAATACGAAGTTTGTCGGGATCCGAACTTAAGGAGGTTGTGAGAGAGAGAGAGAGACAGAGAACGAGACAGGATCCGCACTTGTGTGGTTATTAAAACCCAAGATGCATCAGGAAAACCAGAGTCACGTCGGAGGTCAGATGAAAATGCGTAGTACGCCGGCATCCAAACTTTATATGCTATCCGATTTCGCAATATGTGAAGTTTGGCAATGGATGCAACCAACGTTCGAAGGTCGGACTCGATGAACCATTTCGGTTACCCCCCCAGGGCAAAACGAGAAGTTCGGATCCGGGCAAACTTGGGTTCTTGTTGCAATCCAAGGGGCACCAGGAAGACCACAGTCAGATCAAAGGACATGTGGAAACGCGAAGTTCGCTGGGATCCGAACTTCAGGAGGGTGCGAGAGAGAGATAGGATTTGTACTTGCGTGTTTGGTCAAATCCACGACGCAGCAGGAAACCCACAGTCACGCCGGAGGTCAAATGAAAATGCGTAGTCCTTTGACATCCAAACTTGTTCTGCTATCCGGTTTCGCAATATGTGAAGTTTGGCAACGGATGCAGCCAACGTTCGAAGGTCGGACTCGATGGACCATTTCGTTTACCCCGCCAGGGAAAAACGAGAAGTTCGGATGCGGGCGAACTTGGGTTCTTGTTGCAATCCACGGGGCACCATAAAGACCACAGTCAGAACAAAAGACATGTGAAAACGCGAAGTTCGTCGGGATCTGAACTTAAGGAGTGTGTGTGTGTGTGTGTGTGTGTGTGTGTGAGAGAGAGAGAGAGAGAGAGAGAGAGAGAGAGAGAGAGAGAGAGAGAGACAGGATCCGTACTTGCGTGGTTGGTGAAATCCATGAGGCACCAGGAAGAGTACAGTCACAACAAAGGTCCGATGAAAATGCGCACTCCGCTGGGATCCGCACTTTTCATGCTGTCCGGTTTCCCGATATGTGAAGTTTGGCATTGGATGCAGCCAATGTTTGAAGGTCTGATTCGGGCAAGCATGTTCCGTACTTGCGTGGTTGGTGAAATCCACGAGGCACCAGGAAGACCACAGTCACAATAGAGGTCCGATGAAAATACGAAGTCCGGCAGCGTCCACACTTTTCATACTGTCCGGTTTCGCGATATATAAAGTTTGGCATTGGATGCAGCCAACGTTTGAAGGTCTGATTCGGGCAAGCATGTTCGGTCAACCCGTTTCGGCAGAACGTGAAGTTCGGATCCGGGCAGACTTGGTTGTTGTTTAAATCCACGGGGCACCAGGAAGGTCACAGACATATCGTATAATAGGTGGAAAGGTGAAGTTCACTGGGATCCGAACTTCACAAGGGTGCGAGAAAGAGAGAGAGACAAGATTCATGCTTGTGTTGCTGTCCAAATCCACGGGCGCATCAGAGGATAGATGAAAATGCGAAGTTCGCCAGAATCCGAAATTCTTCGGCCGTATGTTTTCAAGATATGTGGAGTTTGGCGGTAGGCATGGCCAATGTCAGAAGGTCAGATTAGGATGACCTTGTTTCGATGCTCCGTTTGGACAATACGTGAAATTCGGATGCGGGCGAACTTGTGTTGTTGTTCACATCCGCAGGGCAGCAGAAAGACCACAACCACATCAGAGAATATGTGAAAATGCGAAGTCCGCCGAGATCTGAACTTCAAGAGAATGTGGGACTGAGAGTTTAACAAAGAGTTGGAGAAAGAGATGAAGAAAGAGATAGAGAGAGAGAGATGGAAATGGGGAGAGCGCGACGGAACCCGAACTTCACAGTCGCGTTGGTGGACACATGCTCGCATGAGGGAATGAGTGTGGGCGAGAGTGAGATATACAGAGAAGGAATACAAATCTAGGCGAACTTCAACATCGTCGGGTTCGTTGACAACCAAGGTTCGATGTGGCCCGATGGCCAATGTTCGTCCTCATACTGTCACGATCCAGTCCGACAGCCTACATTGGCCGTCGGGCCGCATCGAACCTTGTCTATCAACAGACCCGGCGAAGTCGAAGTTCGCCTACATCCGTATTTTTTCTCTCTGTATCTCTCTCTCTAACACACCGATGATCCCGAGAGATGTAGAGAGAGATGGGGAGATGCATGTGATCTGTGACAGCGCTGGGAAATGCTGGTCATCGCTGTATGAAGATCCGGTGTTCTCCGCTTGCTGTCACACAAAAAAAACAACACAAACGACCTTTGTTAAACGAGATACATTTGTTGGTCGGTGGCGAATGGTTGGGTAGATGAATGATTGGGTTGGATCAGTCATCAATCTGATG